GCACTTAAATGACGACAGAGCCCTGGTCAGGGTTTAGCTTCATTATGCCTGAATGTATATTTCAAACAAAGTAAAACATATCTGCTTTCCAGCAGCATCTGCACTCTTGCAAATGGAGTTCAAATTGCCTGAAATGAGGGAAGAAGTGAGCAGACAGAACAAAGACGGAAAAAATGGGAAGATTTCATCCCCCCCGGAAAAATGACTAATAGCCGTTTCTGCCAGAGCTCGTACAATCTTGTCGGACTATTCGAATATGAGAGGGTGCCTAATTTGCCAGTGCATTTTTTCTCTCCATTGTCCTCTCCTTTTGCACTTTTTCCTCCCTTTCTCCGCGCCCCCCCAAGCAGTCATCCCCCTCTCATTTACTCTTCCTCTAAATGCAAAGATGTACCCAAGGGCAGCACGTGGATTGTGGTCATCGTGATCGGGAAGGGGTCTTTGGTAGACAAAGGCACGCTAACAGCTCCACTCCACTCCCATCCCGTTCGGAATGACACCCAGTCTTCACACCATTTACACGTTCCGCTCGTCCATGAACACATCCCATCATCCCTGGGACCATCACACTTCCACACCCTTGAGGGCTAAACATTCATTCGTTGGTACAAGTCCACAACGTAATGAGCGGGGAAGAGCTGATTATTTTTTCTTTCACACCAAGACGATGGATAGAAGACTATTAGTACCACTGAAAACTAGGGAGAGCCTGAGAGAGAGATGAAATGGACAGAGAGGAAGCGAGGGGTGCATTAGATGGAGGAACAGAACAAGGAAGCACAAAAACTGGAGATAGAAGAGAGAGAGGGATAGAGAGAGTGTCTGGAGTGGACCTTGAGCAGAATGGATACGGTGGAAGTTTCTGGAGACCCTCATAAATTCCTGGCGGAGGTGTAGGCCTCTAACACTTTAACAAGTCGCTGTGCCAGCCGTCAGTGCAGTGTTTAACAGTAGGCAAAAGCCTCTATGACAGCACCACATCTCATTCATTATTTAAAAAGACCCGCATGCAGCACACAGCAACGCATCCGCCAGATGCAGTGCTTTCTCTTAACGATCCATCCGGTCCAGTGAAAGAAAGAGAGAGAGAGAGAGAGAGGTGCCAAGAGCACACTGCAAAGTTGGGCAGAGTTTTCCCTCAATCGCTTTAAATCAATTCTTGAATGAGATGGGCTTTTTTTCCTCAAAACAATCAGTTTCTTGTTCACACCAAGTTTGAATCTCTTATTTTGTTATGGCACCTGTGTGCAAAAAAACTGAATTGATTCTCTGTGAAATTGTCATCTCTTCACAACTTCTAAACATTCTTTCACCATATGAGCCATCACATGCAAAATGATCCAATCATATCAAAATCAGTTAGAGATGGTGTTGGCCATCGTTTATAGATCGATGATTGAAAGTATTTTAACATATAACATTGTTTTGTGGTATGGTAGTCTAACATTGAAATAAACTAACACGAGTAATTAACAAAGCAAATAAGATTATCGGTCAGAGACAGAGCAGAATGCAAGACCTGTTCTCATGATTCATGGAGGAAAATGCAATTACAGTATATTCTGACCAGACTCATCCCCTCCATTCCTGTTTCGAGGCCCTCCCTTCGGGGCGTAGTCTGCATATACGACTAGGTAAAGAGAAGATATATAAAAAGTAATTTGTTCCATTGGCGGTGACTGTTTTAAACCAAATTCTTAATTGAGGTAATATATATTCTGTGAGTTAGTGTGTGTGTGTGTGTGTGTAGGCATATACAAACATATAAAGTGTTTTGTATTTTTGTGTTTTTTTCATGGGGACAAATGTGTGTCCTGTTTGTTTTATAGATATGTAAGTGTTTATTGTGTTTTTTTATGTCAGTGTCAAATATGAATTTCTGTCCAAGCGCCGGCTGCACCTCACATGCTTTTAAAGCTTCCTGGTCATGACGTCACCCGCCTCTGACGTCTCGCCCATCGATTCGACTGATTACACATATGATTCAGAGCTTGGTATCGCTGAAGGCGTTCCACTAGCGTTTTCCGACGCAGCTCGAGTTCCCGAAGGGGAACCGTACAGACAATAAAGTAAAGCAAAGTAAAGTAAATATATGACATTGAATTTTTTCTGTTTATATGGAACACATTGCTAAAAAAATGTATTGTATACATACAAATGTGCATATTCTTTTTTCTGTGTACTACAGTATTGTCTCCCCCATTAGGATAGAAGACGAGAAAATTACTGTTGAGAAAAAGCTAAGTGAGATACACAAAAGTATTCAGCTAGACAAAACTAGAGAGCTAGAATTCCTATGATCATTCTGTGTGTCTATGGAATATCCCGACGTGATATGCATGTATGAAATAAAGCAATGATTTGGCATCTTACAGCTGCGAATAAAAAACATGAATGGAACTTTTTGTGTTCAGAATATGTTGATGAATGAAGACAGACAGACAGAGAGACAGACAGACAGACAGAGAGACAGACAGACAGACAGATAGACAGATAGATAGATAGATAGATAGATAATTTCTCTATACAACCAAACGTATAAATGTATAAAATTGTGATTGAGCATTGAGAAAAGGAGTGAAAAGTGTATTTAGTTACAGTGTGTACGTGGCCAGAGAGAGGCGAGGAGGAGGAATTGTGTTGTGGGAGAGAAAGGGTAAAAAATGCAAGAAAAATGTAAGAATGAAATGTTAGGGGGGAAAGGAGGAAATGTGGGATGAAACAAGGAACAGGAAAGATGGATGAGACAAGTGGGGAAAGAAAGGAAGAGAGAGAGATTTGCATGCATGAATCAGCTGCGCTCACACATCTGGTCATATCCCATAGTGATGACATCCAAGTTTCACATTACAACATTCATAATGTTTGCATTACGATTCTTATTAAAATGCTTATGATTTAAGAATGAGGTTGAGTTGATAAAACATAGATAAGATGAGACCTGGGTTGGTGAAAATCCCACTCAGATCTGTATCCCCACTTTTCATATATTCAATTAGCTAACAAGGCTGAATAGGGCCAAGAGCGAGAGCAGGTTTGATGGATCAGCCAACTTTTTCCCAGCAGGCTAAGCTTACTCAGAGATTTTTTTTTTCTTTTTCTCTTCCCTTTATTCTGAAAGAATTGTGAAAACAGTTATGAGGGTGCTGTAAAGAGACAGGTTTGCCGATCTATGAAAAATTTACTGTTCCAGAGTAACCCTCATGATTCCCATAAGCTCTACAGATGGGACTAGAAAGAGAAGGGTGGGGGAAAACCTGTTAGAGTGAGAGATTTCATTAAGATGCCTTTTGTTTGAAGGTTACATATAGATTGAAGACATGTCTTTTTAGCCATGCATACACATAGCGCATCCCATAACTTCTGCTCCAGTACATGTGATCAAATATACATCATTACCTTGTGCTTGCAAATATTATGAACAGTAGCTACGCAGTGCATATTAAATACAAACTATTGTTAACTACACAATTGCATTATCTGCTTGATACCTGTACAGTCTATTATATAGACATTACCTTTTTTATTGTAATGTAGGAACATGCACCTTCTGTAAAGCTACTTTGAAACAATAATTCTGAAAAGCACTATTCAAATAAATGTGAATTGAATTGAGTTTACCATTGCATATTGTGTTAAATAGGTAGACAGATTTGAACACTGATGTCTTAGGTACTTGTTCAATAACTCATTTTTGTTATTCTTTTAACCAAAAAAGTTATATACTGCAGCTTTAATGTCCTACTTTAAAGTCAGCCAGAATATAGTCATGTGATAACTTTGCATTTTGTTTTTGGAAAACACAACTTCCAAATACTGTACTCTTTAACAACTAATTGTTCAGTTCTGTAAACACTATGTGGATGTATTTTTATTTTTATTTTGATTAATTCAGTTGTAATATGGTTTTTCATTTGGTGCACTCTTTATCTGCAAAATACAACTTTGCATCTGGTAGACTACACAAAATTCAACCATTGACGTGAATTGATTGACTACCATAGCATTCAAACAGCTAGGTATCTTTTTTTTTAATTAAAACTAAAATATGTTAAGGTTAGGTTTAGGGGTGTGGTGTTAGGCTGTGGAAAAATGCATTGACTTCAGTATTGTGAGTATTTGTGAGTAATGTGAGTGTGACTTGATTTTAGCACAAACTGGGTGAATTCCAAACCACAGTTTTGAACCCTTTGTAGGGACATTCTAAATGAAACTGAATAACTGAATAACTGAATCCCTTCATGAAGGTCCCTTCCACATATATTTATTTATATGAGAACAGGAAACAACTGCAAACAATATATATATATATATATATATATGAATATCACTGAACTCACAATAACATAATATAACAAGAACAATGACTTATAAAATACATGTGGGAATATCTCTAAAAGCGGGTTTAGTGGCACATCTCACCCACAGATCACTGAAAGATACTATTACACACATCTTCACTGATATTAGCAAATGGATATGGAGCACTAAAGGAAATTATTTTAAACACACAGTACAATTATGAGATACACAATTATTAAAACAATGTATAAATACCTTTATCCATCTTTACTGAACATTGATATAACAATGTATGGTTATACAAATATAAACTACCACTAACAGCAGCTATAACTGTCTGCTAAACAGCATTATATGCATGTACCTTAACGTATAGCATTGTTATTCAATTGTATACATTGCTTCATCAAAAAAAAAAAAACATCCTACACAATCTGGAAATCAGAAAGATTTACTGTCTATTCATTGTATATATATGTATATATATATATATATATATACTTTTAATATACAGATGACAGAAAATAAAAGGACAAAGAATATAGGTCACACCTAATCTGCCACATGAAATATGTAATGAGACTGAATCCCACATTAATCATCTAATATCATATATCAAAACCTTTAATTTTCCATGTAAAATATAATAAACTCTATTATATCAGTGCCAAATTTACCTTGGTCGCAAATTTAAAGTACTATACCTTCTGTTTTATGATTTTGCTCTTGTAGATCTTCTCAAGATTATCTTTAACTAGTGGACACACTTCATCCACCTTGGTCATGATTATGGCTTGCGGAATGTCTGTGATACAATGAATTATAAATATTCCACAATATAACATATTGAAAATTTACTCAAATGATGATATTGATAATTTTACGTCCCCTTTGTTTTTTAGTATGGTGTGCAGCTTTCTCAATGATTATTGACTGTTTATATTATTTGGATATACTTATCCACCCAACATATTGTTTTTGTGAATAAAGATGTAGATTCAATATGACTCACCCAGATCTCGTGCTTTGTCCCGAACTGCTCCCATTTGCCCAAATACATCCTCATGCATCACAGAAACAGTATTAGCAGGAAGAACAGCCACCAGACAGTGAATCTTGTCTTTCAGTATGGGGTTTCTTTTGTATTTTTGGTCGCCTTCAGTAATTGAACTTACTGGGTTAAACTGAGCAGACAGAATCAGTAAATAAACCACAAGTGCATCATATAAAAAAAGAAAGCAAGAAAAGAGAAAAAAAATTCAAGTGGTAATAAACCACTTGAAATGTTGTAGTATTGCAATCATGATACATTTTTGCACTAAAAAGCAATCAGTTCATCCACAATTCCAGAATTTCAACAAATTTAAAAGATTGTTCTAGTTGCTCTGCATGCATTTATTTTTCACCGGTTTCTTTATCATGTAGCTATAGTAAAGTTTACTACAACATTTTATGAAAAGCCTGAATGCTTAAATTTCTTAAATTAAATATACTTACAGTGTAACCATCGATGATGTGACCATTTAATAATCTGTTGATGTCATCAGTCTTTATTGAGTTACTTTCATTTTGCATACCAGCAATGCCAGTGAAGGTGAAAGGATAAAAAGAGCCAGCCTTGTCCTTCCTCATTTTGTATGTGTTGCACTGAAAATAAAATCCAAACATTGTTTGTTTATTGAGTTACTTTCATTTTGCATACCAGCAATGCCAGTGAAGGTGAAAGGATAAAAAGAGCCAGCCTTGTCCTTCCTCATTTTGTATGTGTTGCACTGAAATAAAATCCAAACATTGTTTGTTGTTTTGTTTGTTACTTTAAACAGTATATGTATAAGAGAGAACTGAGGACTTAAATACATAACAATGCTGATCAATGGGACAAGAAACAGGTGTGTAACGTAATCAGAAACCATGGCAACAAAATGAACAAGAATAAGACTTACAGAAACAAGGAAAACAAAGCCAAACAGAACATGACTGTGACTTTGCTTCCCCCTCCCAGAAGAAATGTCCTTGCAAATAACAAGTCAAACGGGGCAGGGGCGGGGGAGCATGAAGAGCTGTACACATACAAGTGGCAGGATTTTGAGTATATGAACATCGCTACCAAATCTACCTGTGATTTGCTGCTTTCTGTGTGTCGCTCATTGATAGGGGTGTGACGAGATCTTGAGCCACGAGATCTCACAATATTAAAGTGTGATGATATTTCTTGTCAAGGTGAAAAGCTGTCTCGTGATATCAGCATGAGAGTGTGAGGGTGAAATTAGCATAGGCCATAACCCTGTATGTCGAATGTGAGCATTTGCCCACTCAAGTCGGTTACGACGACGAACTGCAGTCAGGTCGAGACCCCGATGAGGACGACGAGCATGCAGATGAGCTTCCCTGAGACGGTTTCTGACAGTTTGTGCAGAAATTCTTTGGTTATGCAAACCGATTGTTGCAGAAGCTGTCCGGGAGGCTGGTCTCAGACGATCTTGGAGGTGAAGATGCTGGTTACAATTGGTCTGCGGTTGTGAGGCCGGTTGGATGTACTGCCAAATTCTCTGAAACGCCTTTGGAGACGGCTTATGGTAGAGAAATGAACATTCAATTCACGGGCAACAGCTCTGGTGGACATTCCTGCAGTCAGCATGCCAATTGCACGCTCCCTCAAAACTTGCGACATCTGTGGCATTGTGCTGTGTGATAAAACTGCACATTTTAGAGTGGCCTTTTATTGTGGCCAGCCTAAGGCACACCTGTGCAATAATCATGCTGTCTAATCAGCATCTTGATATGCCACACCTGTGAGGTGGATGGATTATCTCAGCAAAGGAGAAGTGCTCACTAACACAGATTTAGACAGATTTGTGAACAATATTTGAGAGAAATAGGCCTTTTGTGTACATAGAAAAAGTCTTAGATCTTTGAGTTCAGCTCATGAAAAATGGGGGCAAAAACAAAAGTGTTGCGTTTATAATTTTGTTCAGTGTATATATATATATATATTTATAAGATATAATGTAGTCAAGTAATATCACATAAGCAAGAGTGCCAAAGAGTGCTGAGCGCAATCGCAAATGTGATATTGATTTTATATAACAGTTCAACAAACAAGAAGTTAATATTGAGCGAGTTACATATTAGACACAACATTGTCTTTTTTTTCTGTTTCACCAATGAAAATAGTTCCAAACAAAGCCTGAGCAGAACATTTGGGCATCTCAGAGCAACACTGTGGTGGTTAATTCCTGAATTAATCGGTTTTTGAACAAATGGATTGAGTCAATGATTCAATGATCCATTCATTAAGACAGTTACTTGCTTTGTTTCTAAATGACAAACACTGAACATTAATTCAGCACAGCTGTCGAGGCTGTTACCTTACAAATAAATCTGCTAACCATTCTTTTTACAAAGACTTGTTGATAAGGGTTGATACTAGTAAATAATGCTATATTGCCCAATTAAACTCACTTCATAATTAATTAACTTGGTAACACTTTACATTAAGGTTCCCTTTATAAAGCGTTTATAAAGGTGTTCATTAATGACTAATAACTCATTTACAAATGCATTATAAATCATTGATATGCAGTTATAAATGCATGAATAAAGGGGTGATTTTGATGCAATACCTGCCAAATAGTGAGCCATTTTTTACTCACATGTTATAAATGCTTAACACATATATTTATTAATACTTATTTCACTCAAAACCAGATTCCTGATTTATTTCATGAGGCAGCAAAAATTTACTATTATAGCAAGACTGAAGGGTGTTGTATTTATGGTTTTCTCATTTATATCTCATGGCTTGTGTCACTTACAATGTTTCTTACCACAATCTACTCTGTACCTTACCCATGATTATCCGCAAAGTTCATGATGCCTATCCACAGCAATGATTAGAAACTGATATATTTTGTTTATCAAGATGAAATTATCATCTTGATTTTTATTTTGGGGGAAAAATCATAAAAGCACAACCATGACTTGATGAGATATTAATATTGAACATTTTAATTTCAATATTACCTGTGAACCTTAATGTAATTAACCATTTATTAATGATTTATAAACGTTAGTAACCTGTGAAAGCGAACATTAATGTAAAATGATCACCTGTGAACATTTATTAATGAGTTATAAATGTTAGTAACCTGTGAAAGCTAACCTTAATGTAAAGTGATCACCTGTGAACAAGTTATTAATGAGCTATAAACGTTAGTAACCTGTGAAAGCGAACCTTAAACGTTAGTAACCTGTGAAAGTGAACCTTAATGTAAAGTGAACACCTGTGAACCATTTATTAATGAGTTATAAACGTTAATAACATGTGAAAGCGAACCTTAATGTAAAGTGAACACCTGTGAACCATTTTATTAATGAGTTACAAACGTTAATAACCTGTGAAAGCGAACCTTAATGTAAAGTGAACACAGCTGTGAACTATTTATTAATGAGTATTAAACATTAGTAACCAGTCAAAGTGAACTTTAATGTAAAGTGGACACAATAATAATTTATTTATTTATTGATTGATTATTATTGCACACAGAAAAAGTTAGTATTTTCTGGTGAAATAAATTGTATTGTGGTTGCACTTACATCAGCAAACAACTTTCAACTTGAAACAAAAAGATTAATCTTTTCTTTTACAGCACACTGGAACATTACTGAGCATAACTTCAC